GCAACATTCTTGTATCTGGACATGGCTTCTATGTGCACTTGCTCCATAATATTCCCAGGAAAAATGTACTGATATCTTATATAAGACATCTTCATCTTTGCTAATGTTTTGGCTAATCCCTTTTCAGAAGAAGCCTGTTGGTTACATGTGTTGAGTTTGTGAGACCTTCAGCATGAGTCTGCAGTGTTGGTTGAGCAAGGGAGAGGCTGAGCAGGGCAAACTCAGAAGCAACCTAACCAGGACACGCCTATTTCTCCTCTGTTGGGAATCCCTTTTTTCCCAGCCTTGCCACCAAGGATGATCTCCCAGCTGTTGTTTCCATGGCCTTTGTGTTACCTCAGGGCAGGAGCCCTAAGGGGAGGAAATGGGAAAAGAGGAGGAAGGTGGTTACTGAGCCAATGGACAGTAGAGTATGGTGCTGTCAGTTCCCGGCACCTGGCCAGGATTCAGTTTGAGTAAAAGCAAAAACTAAGGAAGAAGGGGTGAGGTCATCTGCATGGAGCACAAGGGACAGGCATGGCTGTTTCTAGAGAGCGTGAGCAGTTCAGTCAGCAGGAAGGGCCAGGCACCCACCAGAGTAGACATTTGCACAGTGGCCTGTAGTGGTTTGAATTCACAGAAGACAGTTGAGTTCCACTAGGTATAACTTTGGCTCACTGGGGTCTCATGTACAGTACTGAGGGAAGAATTGCTATAGAAAGTAAGAAACAAAATGTTTGGAAAGCCACCAGATCTGACTGTGGAGCCAGAGCAGGACAAACGCTGCTTTGCCAAGCTGGGGGCCCTTGAGGGGCGGGGGGCTCCCTCCTGCCGCAGCGGCCCGGCTGCAGCCACAGCATCTGCCACATCCCCTGCATCGCTGCCTGTCTGTGGGAAACAAAACTCCTGGACAGGCTGGTTGGTAAAGCCATGGGCCAGCCTCACGGAGGGCCTCGCGGGCCTCATGGGGCCTGCCCAGCTGGCCAGGCTTGGCAGAGCGGACACGACCCCTCCGACTGGGACGGGGCCATGTAATTTGTGTCTGAGGAAAGAGGCGGGTGCAGTGGTGGGGGGAAACGACCCCGTGGGAACACTTGGGCATGCAGGATCGGGCATGGCAGCTAATTAGAAGAAACATACATAAACCTGTCAACTTTTGCTGTGCCCATACTAATGTGACTGTATTTCTGGGATGAACTTACATTTGTAATCTCCTTACTAGCACATTAGAAGACTTTTACAGCGATGCACAGAAGAGCAAATAGGACATTTGTGTAGTGACAGCACTGCTGTGGAGCCATGTACACTTCTAACGAAGGAGACACAGTCTCAGGGTGTGGATTCCTCTGACGGCAGGCTGAGGCCCCCGGGGTCCCAAGGAGAGTGCAGGTACCTGCGCGTTGCGGTCCCTCGTGCATTACTGAAACCTGACTGGCTGGGTCACCCTCCTGCACTGACACAATATCGTTTAGAGCTGTTTGCTTATTACAGAGATACTATCACAAGGTGTGGTGTCCTGATTGGAGTCTAGCAGAAAGTAACACTCTTATTCACCCACCACCCACCTTTAGCCGATGGTCTGAGGGTCTCTCCTTGGCTTCGTGATGGAAAGTGGTTGATTCGCCTCTGCCCAGCGGTAATTATGTGTTGCTGCCTGCTGGAAGTTCCTATGTTGGCATTGGAGTGGTAAGCCTTGAGATTCATTGCAAAGTAAAAGCATGTCTTCTTGATGTCTGTTTTATATTAAGCTTAGTAAAAGTTGCTTAGTACACTGTATCATTTACTTGTGATTTTTTTTTTTTTTAATGATCGTTAAAATTCCTAATTGATATTACCTTGCCACGCTCCTATTTCTCAGCAGCTATTTGCATGCAGCCTTCCCATCAAACTAGAAAGCGGTTCTGGTAGCAAAAGTTTTATGGCACTTCTGGCTTTTCCTTTCTGTTTGGAAGAGTCCCCTTTTTAATTCTTTTATTTTAGATCCTCCTTTGTAAAACACAGCTCCTTCTGGAGGGGCTTTGCCTTCCTGAAAGCTTACAATTTTGTCCTCTCAGCTTTAGGACAAAATTATTCCCTCGTCACTGTAGTTCTTACTGAGCCAGGCTGGCTTGGCAGGTCTCCACTCCTTCTTTGTTTATTTATTTTCATATCAGAAAGGTAATAAAATTGACAAAAGAGGTTTACAGACTCTAACTGTACAGCTTACCAAACAAGAAAACTAAAAAGTCCAACACACTTCCTTTTATTTATGGCATCAGTGCTGAGCCACTACAGTACCAGCACGAGGTAACTTCTCCTCCCTTCAGCTTTTGAAGGGTGAGCCGAGCTTTCTGTTTGCTCACTGCCTCCATCTTTGCAGGAGGTTGTTGGTACAAAGTGGAAAACTTTTCAGTGAAGTGAGGCCGAGCCTATCAGGCCCCAGGCAGCAGCACACGGGGCTCTCCCTGGCAGGGAGGGCAGGAGGCGCCAGGCGAGGGGCTCTAGTGCACCATCAGCCACACAGGGATGCTCCAGCTGTAACACAGTCTGCAGGAAGGCCCATGGGAGCCCTCTGGAACAGTCAGGGGTTCCCGGGGCGTTCAGCCATCTCCTTGTCTCCTCGTTCAGGTTGTGTGACACCCACCCCCCCACGGGGGATGGTCCCAAACACCTCATCAGGACCGGCTGTAGTCTCCATGTGGCTCAGCCCTGGAGCACCTCAGAGCTGAGGTGCCGAGTGCAGTGGTGAGTAACCTCTTCTGTGGAGAGAGCGCTAAACCCCGGAGTCCTTATCCACCCAGTTACGGGGGCTCTCGGTCGTGGAGCAGGTGTAGATTCCGTATAAACACAGCTGTGGAACAGGAGCTGCAATCTATTTAGCAAGGTCTGTTTTCATGTATGTTCATCAGTGAGTTGGGATCAGTGTGGGTGTAGGTCCTGGGCATGGTTGGATGGAGTTAGCAAAGGAGAAATAGGTGTGGGAGGATGGAGTAGCATTTCAAAAGAGAAGGTGCATTCACATCCTCACTGTTTGTAGCCGGTGGACAAGAATTCTCCTGCTAGAATGATGGATGGGGACTGGACAAGGGAATAAATTGTCTTTTAGTGCCTAGATCAATGGAGTGAATACAGCAGAGACAGCAATGCATGAAGGGGAAAGCAATTCACGCAGTGTTACTTGTTAATACACCAGCTTCACCACCTTTATGAGCTGATACTGTAGTATCAGTGTTACCTGAATCAGGCAGGTGACATGTCAGCTAATGGGACAGTTGCTGAGGAGGAGGCTCATGGATAAGGCTAACAGCAGCCCTGCCACACACCCGCAAGTTTACTGCCATCAGTTTCATTTCTGACCCCGGCGCTAGCACCCCCCAGCCTCCAGACCCGGGGGTGTGTTTTGGGGCCAGCCTTCCTCTCCTGAGGCTCTGCTCCTCGCTGAGGCCATATGCAGGCCAGTACGTGGGTCTGCAAAAGGGGCTCGGGGAGGTTGCTGAGCTCTGCTGCCTGGGATCGCTGCAGAGCAGTGGTTGCAGGTGCCATGCCGCTTACATACGCGTTAACCAGCATTTCAGCTTAGGGGGCTGTAACCTGCGTTGGACGGTGGGCTGGGTTTCACAGGGTTCTCCAAGGGCTTCTCATAGTCAGTGCTACTGAAGGCCAGTGGGGTACCCAAAACCCCCTGGTGCTGCCTGCACCCCTGTCTTGCTTACTTCAGCCATGTCTGAAAGTTGTTGCCCATCGCTGAGTGTCTATGCCCATGTGCCCGCCTTCAGAAACATCACAAGGGCATCGCCTCTTGCCCTTGAAAGGATGCACAGAGTCTTTGTGCTTAAACTCGGCAGTGGCTGCAGCCAGAAACCAGGCTTTGGGAGCTCTAGTTTGGCCTGACACTGACTGCCCCAGCCTTGCCTCGAGAGCACAGGGCTGCAGCTGGAGCTGCTTTGGAGGGTCAGACACCCACGCTGTCGAGCCCTCCACACATCAGTGGAGCCTCACCTTTGTGCCACTTCCAGCTGAACAGGGAGAGGGCTTTACCTCCCTTCTTATATCAGGAAGGTCAATCTCCACCCAGACTGCCTTTTCTTCTAACTCTATACATTAAAAGGCATCACAAAATGCTGTAATAGGGGTGCAGTTAATGACTCTGGAAGCACTACATGATTACTGGCTGTCGTAAATAGAAAGCAGTGAGGTTCTGGAGTTCATTTCCAAACAGGTGAGTGGGAACTCTCAGACCAGGAGGCGATTAGTGTGTCTGCAGGTCTGGTTTCTCCTTTCCCTGAAGTGAAGGTGGGTGTTAGGCTGAGGTGTGCAACATCCACATCATGCCTCATCTAAGATTTGCCAATATTCATTTGTTGCTTTCTACTCTTTAGCAATCAAACAGAAACTTTTCAGCTGTTACCTTCTGGGTGACAAGGTTTGAGAAATAACCTCTCAGTCACTATTGCAGTGTTGTGAAAATGTTCTTAGGTGATATACCAGTGGCATAACATGAGCAGAGCATGTTATCTCAGAGCTACCTGTATTCTCCAGTCGGACTTGGAGAGTTTGTTACCAAAAATGTGAATGAATTCTCTGAGTGATGCTGTACACACCAGAAGGGAAGTGCTCCACACAGAGCTGCTCACGCTCACATGAACATATCTGCCTGTTACAGAAACCTTGAAACACCATCAGTGGCAAAAGCACCTTGGCTGCTGTGGGAGCGGGACTGGGTCAGTAACACCATGTTACGATAAACAGGCCAGGTTGTATCACCAGTACTGTGATTGCTCAGAAGGCAGCTGGCCCTCTAGTTAGTGTTGGAAAACATACATTTCAAAATCTGAATTGTCATATTAAACCACTCTAAAAATGTAGGTAATGATATGTAACAGGCAAAGGTATCTCTTCTGACTGAAGCCATGTTGAATCATTTTATATTACCACCGAAGGAGCAAACTGAGTTTTTAGCTGTGGGGGCGCCCCGTGAGCCCCGAACCCCGGCACCCCCGGCAGGGGGGTGGCCCCAGCCCCAGCCCTGCTGCCGTGTCAGCCTGTCCCCGGTCCCTGGAGGTGTCTGCTGGCCTCACGGCACGGCTGGAGGACACACGTCATGCTGCGCAGCTTTCTCTTCTCGCTGCACAAACGCGTCCTCGAACACAGAGCGGGAGCAGATAAGGGTAAATCTCGTGCAGGTAACTGTAGTAGTGGCAGGAAAAAAAGTGACATTTGTTTTGTGCTTAACGCTTAGACTAGCTGTAATTATTATTGCTATTGTTAATGCTACTATTGCAATATTACCTGAGGCTGCCCACTCAGCACTGAGCTCCATTGTATTCAGCACAAATGCACCCAAACCCCTCAAAAAAACTTACAGTTCAGAATGCAAGTGACTTACAATGGTGAAGAGGAGGGATAAACCCAAATGGATACAATTAGCTTAGGCACAACTTAGTCATCCTCTTCTTAGTGTAATTATAAAATGGACAAAGGTAGCGCCAACTAACCTCAAATGCCCTTCTAGCCATAATTAACTATATTGCATAATAATGGTGTCAGTTTAAACATTGTTTAAAACCGATGCTTTGCTCGAAATTACTGTACAGCCACACTTACATCTTGCACAACAGACTAACACATAGCAGTGTCTTGACTTCCATTTTCTATTTCGTTGTGTCATCTGTGCATAGGAAAAGCTCTTGACCAAAGAGGAGTCAGTGGTACAGTGGTAAATAAAAGTGGGTAGATTCATCTGTCTGTGGTATATAAGGAGCAGGCAAATACTAGAAATACCCAAGAGTCGGAGTGGGTACAAAGGGAGTGTCCTTCGCCTGCATTTACCCTTGACTACACCACTTAGAAGAGTTGCATAATTGATACAATTGAACCACATCAGTCCTTTATTTATAGAACATAATGAAATGGTTTTCAACATCCTGGATCATGCTGCATGGGTGATTGCCATGTATGCACCCAAGGAGAATAAATAAAAACATTTCCCTAAGGTATTATGTCTCTTCACCTTCTCTAGTTGCATCCAGGACTTTGTTTTGAGAGCAGTTCTGGAAGCAGTGCAGCAGGTAATCCCGCGCTGCTCTTGCACACGCTTTGTTCAGAGGAGAGCTGCGGAGAGGCTGCTCCAGGACGCCGGCGTTTCACTTTTCCATGGTTGTGCAGAAAGCGGTGTCAGTTCGGTGGAGCTTAGGGTGTGCACATACCTAAACGGCCCGCAGGCTATTGAGCACAGTCCGCTGCGTTGTACTTCAGTCAGTCCTTGTTCAAGCTCCACAGCCTGCATTTGACATAAATCTGGTTTACCTAGAAAGCATATGGGATCAAACTCAAAAAAAAAAAAAAGCAGCTGTGGCATTTGGTAGCTGTTCTCAGTGATGGAGATGGAAGTGAGTCGTGAGGCAGTCCCCTGATAAAGACAAATGACACAGGTGACCTGACCCCGCTGCCTGGGCCACAGGCTCCCACTCCAGCCTGTGCTGGTGACAGTCTCTCATTACGGAGCCTGACACCGTGACTGAACGTCATCCACGGAAGACTCTGGTCTACAACAGAAGCATGTGCAATAGGTGGCACTGAGACAGGGTTATTGTAAAAGTTACATACAGTAGAACAAAGCACTGCTATTATTTTGTTGTTGTTGTTGTTGTTGTTGTTGTTGCTGTTATTAGAAAAAATACAGATAATTTAGAAGCATTTCTCTTTGTCCATCTTTATATGATGTTCTACTGTTCCTGTTGCATCATTTGAATTTGGCCTTTATTTATGATGCTACATTGTTTTATGTATATACTTTATAATTAGAACTACTAATTGCAAGCTTGCTTACTGCCTTTAGTTGGCTTTTCCAGAGCACTACCTGCACAAAAGATCACAATTGCTCAGATCTTCCCAATTGCTTGGTATTTTCATAAACTGTAATGAAACCAGGACTAGGTTTTTAACTCATTTCTAAGCTTTACATGGTGACCCTCTGGTGCACAGAATTGAACTGCATCAAAAATTCATCTTTTTAAAAGGTGTTTAAGCTCTTTTCTCAAAAATCCTCTTTTTCTGAATTAAAAAAAAATTGATCACCACATCAGAGTCCCATGCTAGCTGTTGCATTTTAATTTTGACATGTAAAACTTTATCCTGCACACATTGTCATATTCCTGATACGTTTTGATCTGAGAAAAAAATCCATATTGGTTAATGGTTCTGCAAGAAGGAGCTCGTCATTTCCATACACATGCTGCAAACTTAGACACAATGCTCCCATTTTAAGTTTGTTATTTCAACTTTGCTGATGATTCAGCGGTGTTATTCTGCTGAAAAGCTGGAGTAACACAGCAGTGAATCAGGCTCGTTGGCTCTGCATCTCACTATCTAAAATGAGGATCCACCTACAGGTAAAATACTATCGTACTGCAAGTATCTCACAGACTGTAATCTGTTCTGGCTTGCCAGATCTTCATCGGAAAAGGATTGCATAGGCTCAAAATTAAAGCGCATGCTGACTGCACTTTAGTCAATGGGAATATTTGTGTGAACAAGATGAGCTGGTTTGGGCTTTTCTCATTACAAATAGCTCAGATCAAAAATAGCAGAGCATGGGGTACTTTTTTTTGTTGCTGATGTTTTCATTACCTGGCTGCCACAGATGGAGAGAGCAGCACTTGCCCAAGAGGGCTGCGGGGCCGGGGCCATCCCCCCGCAGGGACCCGGCGGTGCAGCCTGGGCGCCGTGCGGAGGGACTGCTGGCTGCGCCCCATCACCACGCACCAAGGCTGGTGACAGCTCCAAGGAGAAACCTCCGAGTGTGTGTTCTTGCAGCAATGCGAGTTACACCTGATACTACAGCTATTTTATTGGCAGCCCTGAGCTCAGCTGCACCATGTTACACTTTGGTAAACACGCGATGACAAATAACGCTAGAAAGTGTATGTACATGCAATCAGCTTATTGGGTTTTCTTCCTTCAGTGTGATCACCTCATGATTTACTGAATAGTCTCTATTCAAACTGCCAAATAACTTCCCCTTTCCCTTACATGTCATTCTTGGTTTGTGCCCTTCTCAAAGTCAGTCTTAAAGGACATAGCATAGACATGTGTGTTCATCCCATGCCTGCAGACGTAGCCCTCTTCCCTGTGCATAAACCTGTACATTTACCGCTCATGCACCCTCAGCTTAAAACTAATAAAAAAAATGAATCCCAGTTATATCATGGTCCAGACAGTCTCAGCAGGAAACACAGGCAATTGTCTGTTGATTTGATGAACCACCATCACAGGGGACACGAGCAATTAACTGAGTGTATAGTTTAGTTGGGGCGGGCAGAGGGGATGGCTAAGGTGAGCTGCCTCTAGCACTTTAACCACCTGGGAGAGGGACGGCAGCTTATGCCTAGTGACTGAACAGGGAACACAACTGGAAAAGCTCTTTCGCTTCCACCACTTGTACGAACATCACCTCAGGTAGCACCTCTGCTGCTGCAGGCACTGAGCGAGGCCTCGGGCAGGTTGCTCTGCCCAGCATGGCTCATACCTCCCCTCTGGCAGCACAGCAGCCGTGCCCCAGCACCGCTCGCCCAGCTCGCCGGGGCTGAGCGCCAGGCGTGAGCGGTGTCACACAGGCTGCAGTCTTCAGGCTGACATCGACACTGAGACATCACTGCTGGGTTTCACTAGGCTAGCATAAGCTTTTTCACCCCGTTAAAGGCTTTGTCTTTGGGTCTCCAACCTGAAATCCCCCCAGGCGTGAGCTGGTGAAGGTTGGTACTGCCTGCTGGTGTTCCGCTGGAAGGAGCTGATGGCATCAGGCTGCGGTGACAACCATGGGTGACACCATGGGAAGATGCCAATTTGCCAGTGATCGCAGCAGAGGGGGAAGGGGGCCATGACCTGCCATTCCCCTGCCAAAGGCACAGTCTCCATGACAATGTTTGGCTGCAGCACAGGGGAGATAAGTGCCACGTCTAATTGCACTGCAAAGCTTTCAGGAGCAGCCTGATGGCTTCATTCTGCAGTGGCACCCAGCCCCGACCAGCACTGAGCAATTGTCACTGTCAAAGAGGCACCAGAGGAACCTGGAAAAGTGAAATTTCATGAGATAAAATAGAAAATAAGCCAAAAAGGTAGAATCTTACAATAACACTAATGTAAACACTGGTCTGTTAAGAAATGTCAGCCTAGTTTTTATCTTGTAGCAGGGAGATTGTTTTTGAGAACCTATGCAGAGTCAAATGAATTCATAAACCTCCGTACCAGGTGCAATCATTAGTCAGTAAATGAATTACACATAATTATCTGCTTTGTATTTAATTCACTTGGCTTCCAGTTTCTTACTCTTCGTACAGTGAAACTCTCTATCTCTCTCACACAAACACACTCTCCATGGGCAAGGAGGTTTTGGAGGGCTGCCATCGTCCTGACTCATGAATCAGACTCCATGATTTGAATGATATTTATCTAAGCCTGCAAACAAAGAAGATGGCTATGTGTCCAATGAGAGAATAATTATTGTTATTATGTTTATAGAGCAACAAAGTCGGGAGTTAGGACCCCGGGGGAAAGGCGGCAGGAAGGGCGAGCTGGGCAGAGGCAGGAGGCTGTAGGCAGTGTTTCAGTGCAGGCATGTGCCAGGGCCCTCGCAGGGTTCCCTGCCTGTGAGTCACCTCTGCCAGGAATCGCCCAGCGGCCAAGGCGGGTGGCCAGGTGATGCCTGCCTCGGCCGGGACGCTCACCGGGAGCCACTAGACCACCTCCCCAAGGGCTCTTGCCACCATACCAGGACAACACTGGGCCTGCAAGGGTTTTGGCAGCGGCAGAAGGGAGTTGGCATTGGCACAAAGCACCCCAGACAGCTCCGCCGCTGCGAGGCTGAGGATGGGGACATGCGGGTCTGCGGGCGAGCCAGCCCTGGCTGCTCTGGGTAGCAGTGCTGACAGGGCAGCCTCCTGCTTGCAGCCGTGTGTGTTTTTTCTTATACAGAAGCCAGCTGTACACTTAAATCCACAATTACTTTAACTAAACTACAAAGAAAGGAAAAAAAAATCCATAACAGAAAAAGCTTGCTTTGGAAGTAAGAGCTGCTGCCACAGCAGGTGGTTAGAAATAAAAATGTCCCTTGAAATGACATTTGGACTCACCCTGCTGCACAGCTTTGGTGCAAGCTTGGCCAGAGGAGCCCCGCTCCACCGCCGGGGAGAGCTTTGGACGCTGTGACAAGGGCAGTGCTGTGTGTGACCCAGGCTTGCTCCTGCCAGGTGACTGCTCTCTGTACACAGAGAGGGCAGTGCCAGAGGAGCCCTACCTAGCCTTTAGGACTGTCCGTAGTAGGCAGTAACTTTGGGATAACCAATCATTTGAAACCTGTACTTCTAAAATACCACTCTAAAGCCTCGTCTTGGCCAGGATTGCAAGACTCCTCTGAATTTAGAGGGCAGCCTGTGCCCTGCTAGGAAGGGGGCTGCAGACCTCTGACGTGTGGCTGGTGCCGAGGCATGCACTTGCACAAAACTCACCGGGTTTCTCGCTGGGCTCACGGAGACAGTCACCCATGTTCACAGGCAACTTCTGGTGTATCTGTACAGCAGCATAACAACTGGGAGCTCTTCATCAGCTTGGTACCACCAAGCAACGGCTCTTGCCATCACAGCTATAGCTCTGGAGACCTCGGAGAAGGATGCCAGGCTCTCAAAATGCTTTGGGTTGCAGTTTAAGGACACAGCTAGCTGTGGTAATGGCAAGCAGTGCTCCTGTTGAGAAAGTTGGAAAAAATGTCATTTACTTCCATTACCTGAGCTTTAGGATGGTAAAGTCTGAGCCACCTTGCAACTGCCTCTAAGGATCTTTAGGTTAACAACATACAGCCAGGGGGACAGCAGGACAAACAGCCAGATGAAGAGGTTACCTGGAAATAATAATGAATCTAGAATAAATCCCACGCAGGGAACAAGACATCCTGTTCTTGTTCTCCCAAGACCAGTGTGAAACTCTTCCAAATTTTGTCCTTGTCACTGGAGGGGAGGCAAAACCAATAACCTTCATAATTATCAATGCTTCAAAACTACCATTAAATGCTTCAAAAATACCATTAAAAATGCAAGATAAATAACCTAATGTCCCTTTCACTCAACCCATTTTTAGAAGCAAGTTTTATCTCACTAGATGTTTGAACCGATGATTAAATCCATGTCAATGTTCTAGGAAGAAACATGGAAGGGCTTTAACTAAGGACAAATTGCCAATGCAATGATACTTTGGATCACAAAGTATTCCTTTAGGGATGTGCCTTGAAGTGATGGCTTTTTTGTAGTAAAACTTCCTTACTTAATTTCTTTTTCAGAACAACTTGAATCTGCTGTAGAAGGTTGATAGAAAACACCTATATGCCAATGTTAACATCCCAGGGAAAAAAAGGGCTTTATATGAGAGCAATCGAAAATATTATTGAGACAATACTGGCCACAAGAGGAGAAAATGTGGTTTTATGGGCTTACTAAAGACTGGGAGTCCTGGATCAGGACTTTCTCAATCTCCCAGAACTGGCACATAGCCTTGAGAAAGCCAGCCCACCTCTCCGTGCTTCAGTCTGCCTCGCTGTAGCAGCAGTGAGACACTGGCTGCCTCCCCAGTGGCCTGGGAGAACCAAAGGACATTGGTACCTGACCTCACAGAACTTCTTAGCCTGTATTTACCACTGAAAATTGCTGCTTCTGCTGAATATCACTTTAGAATGGAAACAGACCTTTGTGCCCCCAAACATGTTTGTTTGTTTATCTATCAGTTTGCTTGTTTACCTGTTGATCTAATTAAAAAACCTACTGCTCACCACCAGTTTTGTCTACAAGGCATTTTAAGAGCCTTGAATGGAGGAAGCAAACAAAACCATACAATATATTACCGGGCAGGTGGAGAAATAGCTAAATACGAGACTTCATAAATATTATTGTGCATACAGCAGTTTCTGCATCTCCCTCTCTCCCTTCCTGATACACTTTACTACAGGAAAAAAAACCTCGACAGTAGCCAAGCTCATATGAAAAGCACTCCCCTGTTTACAGTCCCTAAGAAATAAGGCCAGGAACTATGAGCCCAACGAGAATGCCACATATACTTCTTCCTGAGCTAGCTGACAGAAAACAGTCAAAAGAATAGGGCTGTAACTTGCTGCTTCATTATAAATTGCTGCATTTGGCACACCTGTTCCAGTACACCTTGGGGCTGTTGCTGGACATAATGCGCCTTTAATTTTTTAATGTTTTTAATATTGCAACCCAGATGGCAGCTGGCTTTGCACATGTGAGCATGGTCATACTGTCAGATGTACCACAAGACCACAGAGCAGTCATGCTCTTCAGTGTCAGACCCAAGGAGGTTTCTGAAAAATGTTGTTCTCCAGTTGTCTGGTCTCACTGAGAGCACATGGCAAGGCTCAGGCGCTGTGCTGTGTAACACGGCTGCAGGGCCGGCACGCATCCAAACATCGCAGAGCGTGAGCAAAGCAAGTTCAGGGCTGTCTGCACCTGTCTGGAGAGATGTATTTTTTCAGCACAGCACAAGAATTTAGCATAAGGTCCTCTTCCAGTGTGAATGCTGCCTGTTTTGGTGCAAGATCAGTATGGGAAAATGAATTTCAAATTTGGAGAAAGGAATTTTTCCCAGTTTACAAACTGTTCAACGTTTACAATGTTTTAAAATGGAGTTGGTAACAAAAGAGCACAAATTCAGCAGCAGAGATTTGACTAAACCTTACAATTGCTGGACTTGAGTTATACTAGTGAAGCTAGCCTAGTATTTTGCAGAATGATTAATAGCCCATGCTTGTAGGTATTTCAGTAATTTTTAGTGAAGTTACTCAAGTAATTTAGAACAGGAATATTGTTTACCAGCCCTGGGAAGATTACATTGCTGGGCCATTTCACGTATGCTTTGGAAGGTTAAGAAGTGGACAGGGAGAGCGAATGGAAAGAACCACATCCTCCTCTGGATCACAAACCATGCCTGTTTGTACCTGAAAGACCATAAATACACCTGTTTGTAGAGTACTGGTATGTTGCCCGGGAACTTCCATTAAAAGAAGTAGTTCTACTGCACTGCACCTCTCAGTGTCAAAGGTGGCACCTGTAGCACGCAAAGGAAAGCTTTAAGGTCATGTCTGTGGTAATAAGAGAAACCCCTGATTAAACTGACAGCAGGTTCAGCGTCACCTTCCTGTGGGGCTGTTGGGGTATTTTCTCCAGTGATGTTGCAGCGTGCTCTGGCTCCCAGCTTTTATGTTATTCCATTTTGTCTTGTTGCACAAGCCTTGCTCTAGGATGAAAGTATAAATTCGTATTTTGGTGATGTGAAGCAATCTAGCCCTGACCTTGCCACCATTTCTTACACACACATAAAACATCCTCTGAAGCCAGGGAGAGTTTGGCTCTAAAAGCTAATGGCAGGACAGGTCATGTCCTTTATGTCCCAGGCAGGCAAGATTTGCCTGTGCTCATAACTCCTGGACCTTTCTAGCATCTTCTGATAGGGAGGAGACCCATAGCCTGGGCATTGAGGTGTGACCAGGACCTGTGAATTCACAAAAATGAGCCCTCCCCCTCCCTCCCAGCACAACTAATGGGCACAGATGTGAAATACAACCTTTTCTGAAGAACTTATTTGTGACCCTGCCTCCTGCTACCCCATGCCAAAGTAATGAACTAACCCCATTAACAATTGTTTTGCTTGACATATGGGTCCCAGATAGGGAGAAATAGTCAAAAGAAGGCAAATTTAACTCCATGTGGGAAAGTCCCCCCTGCACTGGGTGTGGGTATATACTGGTGAGCTTGGCTCTACAACAGGGAAGGACAAAAAGCCAGAGAGAGGAGAAAAGCTGAGCTGGGAGGGAGGGGCAGAGGAAGATTTTGTGCGCGCCTGGGAAGGAAACAATGGGACAAGGGGAAGGAATTAGAAGAACCACATCCTGCTCTGCATCATAGCCCTGCAGTTACTCCCTCACACTGGACCAACCCCTAGTGCCCTACTTCTAACATTGCTCCACTGTGACTGCTGTGGTGAAGCTCCATCCCATTAGATGTGTCTCGACCAGGGACCATTAGGGCAGCAATGCTCTGAACATGTTAGATCAAGCCTCTCTCTTTTCCAATTACATTTTGATGTGTCCCACACCCTTGCTGGCCTATCCCAAGGCCCTACAATTAAGCCTCAGCCCCACAGCCTCTGCTGAACATAAGCCAAAAGATGTTTCTGCCCTCCCTCCACCTCTGACCCCACAGCCAAGTCAACCCTGCCCAAGGCAGACTGGCTCTCTCCAAAGCTCCCCACAAACCTGCAGTGAGGAGGTCCTTCCCCCGCCACTTCCCTTCAATGCCGCTTGGGGAAGAGCTACACAAGGAAAGGACAAAGGCAAGATGCTATTTCCTTGCACCCTCTTGTACCCATATTCTCTCCTGTCATCTTGGCTTCTGCAAAGTTTCTCAAACTCATGGTCTTGTTTGTGAACTGCTGCATGTCTCATTAATGACAAAATCAGTGCTTTTCCATTATTGCTACATTCCATAATATTTGTACTATTCATAATATTCACTCCTGTACACTCATTGTATGTTCAAAAAATTGGCAACTATTTACTGCTTATTTCTCACAAAAGCAGTGCAAGGGAAGTGGAGATCTCAGCACTAAGCCCCACTTAGCAGATCTACCAGTCAATACAAATAAGGTAAGAATTATCAGCAGCAGCCTCATCATTTGAGTGTCCAGCATGAGGTCTTCCAATCTGAACAGCCCAGAAATAGGTCTCCTCAATCTACTGTTCCCTTCAGATAAAAAAGTCTTCAAGTGCTCATTCAGTGAGTCACCTTAAGAGTTCTCAGCTATGCACAATGAGCAAAAATGGTTTAAAAAATGCATGTGTATTTATAAACACACACATTTATGTATATACATATGCATGGTTATATATGTATATATGCACATGGATATATATGGCTATATATCCAAGGTAGAAGGGAAAATATATAATAACATAAAGTATATTATATTGTATATTATGTATCATATATATTATATATATTATAAAATATATACATCCCTATGAGATATAATCAGGTTTCATTTTGCTTCAGTAAGCCTTTGACTATGGTCAAGGTATCTATACCTGAATAGCCCTGCAAGGAGGGGCTTGGGGATATGAGTGAATGGAAAACTATGAGCCAGCCACATGCACTCGCAGCCCAGAAAGCCAACCGTGTCCTGGGCTGCAGCAAGAGCAGTGTGGGCAGCAGGGCGAGGGAGGGGATTCTCCCTCTCTACTCCGCTCCCATCAGACCCCCCCTGCAGTGCTGTGTCCAGCTCTGGGGCACCAACAGAAGAAGGAGATGGACCTGCTCGAGTGAGTCCAGAATAGGCCATGAAGATGCTCAGGGGCTGGAGCAGCTCCCCTGTGAGGACAGGCTGAGAGAGTTGGGGGTGTTCAGCCTGGAGAAGAGAAGGCTCCAGAGAGACCTTAGAGCAGCCTCCCAGTACTGAAAGGGGCTGCAGGAAAGGTGGGGAGGGACTCTTGGTCAGGGGGTGTAGGGATAGGATGAGGGGTAACGGTTTTCAACTGAAGGAGGGTAGATTTAGGTTAGGTACTAGGAAGAAATTCTTCACTGTGAGGGCAGTGAGACACTGGCAGAGGTTTCCCAGAGCAGCTGTGGCTGCCCCCTCCCTGGCAGGGTTCAAGGCCAGGCTGGACGGGGCTGTGAGCAACCTGGGCTGGTGGAAGGTGTCCCTGCCCAGGGCAGGGGGTTGGGACTAGATGGTCTTTAAGGTCCTTTCCAGCCCAAACCATTCTATGACTTCATGATATGATAAGAGGTTCCCTGTTTGGAGGGTGAACTATAAATGTCCAACTTCACTATCTCCAGAGAGCAGAGGAGCTTTATGACTTCCTTGTAGCAACCTGTTGGGTTGACATTCAGCAGGAGAAGCCTAAAACAACCTGAACACCACCATCCTCTCAGCTCTCTATGTCCTACAGCTCTGAGGTCACACCATAATGAATAGCACTACTACCTGGAGAGCTTCTGTTGCTGAGAACAAGGTGAGTATGAGGGGAACGGTTACACACTTGGAAGTGTACAGAGTCCTTCAGGATTTATTTGTTCACTCCAGAGAGAAAGTGAGTCATGAGAAAACTTAAGGTGGAGCACTCAAAACAAGGAGTGTATAAATGATTAGCAAGGGAAGGTCAGCACTAGTCCTTCAAGTCTGAGCATGTCCCGTTGTCGATGGTACATAAATAATAACAGTTGGATGCCTGTGGTTGCAGGAGAACAGCTATCACACTTCTAGTCTCTGACACATCTCTGACTCACATAGTATCATCAATGAGGCTGATCTCAGTTTTCTCAAAAAAAGGTAGTTAAGGTTATAGGAGCAAAGTGGTAAAAAATTGAACTTGAACAACAGACCCAGTTTCAAGTCAAAGCTGCATGCTTGACAGAAGTCAAGCTTTTTTTTTAAAAAAAAACCCAAACTGAACCCCTTTACTACACAGAGAGCCAAACACAGGGATGGGAGGTGGACCTGAATTCCACTTGCACTCGTGCAGCAATGCAATTAATCACCTGTTCAGATAAAATCCGATTGCAGAATCTTCATTAACACACTGATGCAAACGAAAGAAAGTACGCTGCCTGTTTTCTTTAGATCACAGGTTGAGTTTAGAGCATTTGCAGATAGGAAAAAAAAATCAGTTCACTTCTTCAGTGAGCAGGAATGACTAGTGATTCACTTGGAGGCATCTGACAAGAACATTGAGATTTATTTATTTTTTAAGATAAACTCTTCTATACTATTGATTTTAATGAAAATATTATGTGGATAACACACTTAAGTACACTAAACATGTTATCCTTATATCCACTGATACTTGTGGCTTTATATGATGTGGCATCTAACTGCTGAGTATAGCTGCCCAGAGGTTGTAGGTTCTGGTATTTTCAGGATTATCAACTTATCACCTATGGGGGAATCCAGGCCATTGTTGTAGTTCATTATCCAGCTGTGACTGCTCTTTGACATCTCTGACGCCACATCTCTTGTAGAGCTACTGAGTACCTTTCACACTGGTACTAAGCTTTTCTTCAGATAATCTCCAGTAAATTCCTTATCATGGTCTGAAGTTGGACAGGTGAGCTGCACCATAGAGATGAGGCAAACCCTGAACGGTGCAGAGCAACAGGAGCTTCTGTAGAGTGGGGAAGTATACAGTGATATACCTTTATGTGGTCTTATGCTCAAATGTACGTAAGTCGTTTCACAGACATCTGCATCAGAAAGGACAGGCTGCACAGCGCTGTGTGAAAAAGCGATTTTTTCAGCATATTTCTGTCTAGAAATTCAAGAGCACAATCCTACCACAACACAGCAATTAGAAGGAATGTCAGGAAAAGCTATATATATATATACATAGAACAGATAACATAGTCATCAGTCTGCCTTTTCTCAGGGAGCTTCTCTTGTGCATTTTTCTTTCAGCTACAGTCAGTCAAAGACACTTTGATCCCTACATCCAGACAGAGATCTGGCTGAGAGAAAAGGGGCCAAGAGACCACAGAGATGTGAAGCCAAGGCCAAGTGTTCTCAGCGAGCTGTGGGGGGTGTGGGGTACCTGAACTGTGGGCTGGAGGGGACCAGCTAGAACAGGGGCATGCTGAGCATGTAAGTCGTTGTGGCTCAATGGCTCCTGTCACAGCTGGAACAGGGCAGGTGACAACCACTACAAAACCTGAATGTTGATGGATGCCATCCCTGCCCCTCCTTGCTCTCAGACAGTGGGTGGCAGGAATGGTGATGCTCCTGTCCTCTGACTCTTGAGGCATATGGCAAGAAAGATGCAGTTCCCATGTGTTTGGCTCAGGGTCCTGTTTGGGCCCATGCACACCTTCCAGTCTCAGTGCCATCTGACTTGACAGCACTTCCTTTGCAGCCACCACTTTGTCTGGGATAATTCTCAGCTCCTCTGGTGACACTACAGTGCTGGCAGAGTGTGCCTCGCTGGTGATATACTGAACTGGAGAATTAAAATGCAATTTTGGATTTTAATGCCGTTTAACACTGCGCAGAACTGTACAAAGTTCAATGAAATAATTTTGCATTTTTTTCCTGTCTACATACATCTAAAGCTGTGTGTCTTGTCTTAACGTAATGTATTTGTGGATATGATCCATATATCCCTTTGATTTGAGAATCTTGAAACATTTTAAAAACAAACAAACATTATCTGTGGAGCAGACAATCCTTACTACGAACCATTCTTACCCCTCAGGATAGTTGAGGCGCAGGGAAGACATATCTTCTTCCACACAGCAGTTAATATTTTTCAGGACTCCAAAAAATCTGACATTGAACTGGCCAAGAAAAGAGGCCAGTCTCTTCATTTGGATGTCAACTTCCTGCCTGTCAGATAACTTTAGTTAACCCTTGACCTTGTCTGGTTTGCAGGTTTATTTATCTTTTTGCTTTCTGATCAAGAAAAATAATAGAAAAGGTATTTGAAAAATAACAGAAAAGATATCTGAAAAATGTCAATCGTTGTACAAACCACAATGAGTGAAATTGGGAGACAGAATTTGCTTTGTTTGCGTATGTGGGGAGTGGCAGAAGGAAGCAGCACCACTGAATGGCTGTGATATCATCTCCAAGTTATTAAGATCCTTTTCTAAGCCGTTTCAGTAAATGTTATATGCTGAGTTTGCCTCATCCTTCTCTACCTTCTGCAATCATGTGGGTACTCACTTGTGCAGCAATAGTTAGGGGAAGGAGCCAGAACATCATTGCCTTGTTTAGATAGCTGAACTTCTGAAAAGCATAAAACCTAGCCTGATTTCTAAGTGCTGCCTGTGGACTAGGCCCACATATGTACATTTTGACTAGAACGGGGAGGGTTTGTGCATTTCTACAGGCACAGTGAGTGCTGAGATCATGGGCGTGCAGTTTACTTATGCAGAAATAAAGGAATGAAATGCAGTTGCAGTCTCTTGCCTGTTTTCTTCTTTGGGAGGTGCTACAGACGGCTGCCCTTTTCAAAGCAACTGTCAGTGAAACTGTGTCTGCATCCTTTTGTGTGAAACAAAAGAATGAGACAAGACACAATAAGAGTTACAAACTAATCAGAGGTTTGGCAGCCGCTTTAGATCACAGAAAAATGTCTTGATCCACATACATTTAAATGGATATATAACCAACTTAACTACTTAAGCAGTGCTATCATTCTTTGTTAGCGTGATCCTCCTGCTTATGCAAACTGTATGTGTGCTTTTACGCAGAGCAGACCAGTGTGTTAGAGAGAAGAGTGGTGACTCACAGTTCCTTGCAATGAACTATACTGAAAAAAGGATGTTTAAACCTGTAAGCTCAGCATTTCTCTGCCTCCATCACACAGGCACATTGCTATGACATGGCTGACTGGGAGCACAAACAACTTCTCAGAGAAATTCGTAACAAAAAACATATATTTATTCCTTTTAAAAGACATGAGGAATAACCCCCAGAGCTGACCAAGCTTTTTCCTTCTGTCCCCTTTGTTATTTTCTAGTATCTCTGGGCCTGAGTCAAAACCACAGCTGTCCACCCAAGCCTTCCCACTGACTTCTGTGGGGCTTGGATGGGGCTTGCTTGTTATCAGGCTTTGGTGCTGACCTTAGTCTGCCATCTCATCTCCCAGGCTCCCAGGAGGAGAGAATGGCAGATCCCAAACGTGAGGAAAGAATTCAGGTTAAAACTGCCCAGGACAGGTTTCTATACGTGTTTTGAGATAAGTGAAATCTTGAAATAAAGGAATGATGTCTCAGCATGATATCCTAGCATGTGTTTGAAGAGCACCAAACACCATAAAACTGGAGGCTTTGGCCAGAGCCACTGAATTAATAATAATACTAACAAAAAAACAGGAGCATGATTGAATTTGTAATTTGACCATATTTCTTGTTTTTTCAACTTTGCTGATATACTTTACTGCTCTTTTTTTTTTTTTTTTCTGGGAAAACAGGAAACAAGGACAAACCTTGAAGGTGTAGCTTTCTGCCTGGACCTGCAGTGCTTTAGGCAGCTCTCTGCAAGTGGCCCAGGCATAAATCTTCTGTCATCCAAAACAGCACAGAGGGCACCACAGCCATTCCCAGGCTCGCTAGCAGAACCTCAGCTAACTACGGCCATGCATTTCGGTTGTGGCCCAGGACACATCCTCTAAACATTGCTCCTTGCAGACCAGCAGCCTTCTATTCTCCCATCGTCTGTGTTCCCTCCTATTCCATATAAAAACTGTGAAGTGCAAGGATGAAAAAGCCAGTGAGTGTTCCATTTACCCAGTAAGACCTTGCATAGGAGATGGGATGCGTAAGAGATGGCACCCAGGATATCAAAACACAGCTCTGCTTAAACACAGTGGGTTTTGACTAAAGAAGCAAAAGGAGGAACTAGTAAAAATTAGAGGAATAAGGTACAGTTTAATAACCACAATAAACAGCTACAAACCATGCGGTAGTGCAGAGGTTTCTGTAAACCCATGAATTTTGCGAGGCTGCTGGGAACATCCAGTGCTATCTTCTCAGGTGAGAGAGCAGGAACAAAGAAGTGGTACTCCTTAATTCATCCCTTTATTTACACCTAGGGAGGAAATGTCTGATGATGATAAACCACAGTAAATACAAGAAGCCACCCCTCTGTCACAACACGCAAACCTGCATTCATGAGGTAAGGTGAACACAGCACAGAGCACCTCCCAAACTTCTGCATTTTAGGAGGATCAACCACCCGTTTTGTGGACATACTCTGCCTTTGGGATTCCTCTGCTGTTCCTGAAGGGCTGTGGCTGCTTCAGGGAAAGGGAAAAATTTCAAAAAGTCACACTTTTAGGCTAGTGCATTATTATGGGTGACAATTTTAATCATCCTTTTTAAAGGGGTGGTTCAGTGGACCTTTGAGGATTTGAGCTATTTTATTTTTGCTGTTTGGACAAGACAGACTACAACCATGGATCTGAAAAACAGTTTGTTAATACCCCACTGGTTTTCAAAGAGAAGGTTTGGCATACACATTTTCCCTCGGGGATTTTGATTTCTCAGATCTGAACCCCATGTAGCAGGGGAGCCAACATTTGTCAGTTGTGACATGGTGACATTTTTGTTCACACAAATCCTTGCACACACAGAATTTTGGTGAGATGCAGGTAAATGTTTAATGAAACTGTAGATGGATAAACTAAGACTCTGAGAAATAAAGCCACCTGAAAGTGTGCCTCCATGAGTGGAAAACTGGTATCAACATCCTATTGCCATAAGTGGACCTGAGTATCACTGCAGGCTGGGAGTATGAACCCTGAGGGCTCAGCTCCTTGTTGTAACTGTGGTGTACTGGATGAGATTTTAGTTTAAAGAGCAATAAACCTTTTGCCAGTCAACCCCAAAATATACTAAACCACTGATTCCTCACCCCTGCATATTGATGACTAACCTGCTGTGTTTCTTATCCTCATCACCTTCCTGTTTTGGCTGTTTTCCATATTGTTTAGTAAACTCTGATGTGCTAAACAATGCTATAGGACTTTTCCTCTCTAATCTCAGTATCATTTTGTACTACAACGATTCAGCGCCACTTCATACTGTGATGAGAAATAATGCATTGACTGCAATGTATGTTGCTTGTGTTCTTCTTCACTGCAACAATGAGTCATTATTCAGAGTATGTTTATGTAATATCATAAATACCAATCTCTGGTATTTATGCAGCATAGTATTTACTTGGGCAAGTTGCCACATGCACTAAAGAAGTAAACAAAGAGCCATTCTTTGGAGGGTTAAAAAAAGTCTTAAAATGAATCCAATTTTCCTTCATAAGGCACTCCTTGTTATTTTACCTAAAGTGGCTCTTTAAGATATACAGTATGATAAAACACACAATTCCTGCGAGACGTAATTATGGTTCCTAAGAGACTGGTGAATAAACAATCAGGAATAGAGTGTTTGTTTTCCCTAGGTTTTTCTTAACTATTAATGGAAGGCATTAAAAAAAATGGAGAGGAATGTGTTGGGTTGATAAATGGTAAGAAAAGTTGAGGAGCGCACTTCACTGAACACACAGGGTTTCTGCCTAAAAGCAGTACTATTTTATTGGATTGCAAATAATCCTATTTTGCAAATGCATTTGTGGTCAGTGTAAATACAGTGGATTCTTTGTTTGTTATATTTACTGTACTGTGTACATCAATGGCACAACGTGTGTTCTAAAGTAAAGAGCTTGCCTTGTCTCACATTACCTTTAAGCATTAGCACAAACAACTTCCTTCAAATCAAGGTGACAAAATCTTCTGCATTGTACAAAATGTTCTGTCTGACATAAATTCCTAAAGAATGGCAGGGGGGCCTGTCTGGTACGGTGCTGAGCCATTGCAAATAATTTTCTGGCAAATCAGGGACACTGCAGTCAACCCTACACATGTGTGGCCACTGAAAACCTAGAAGACAGCTAAAGTTAAGCTGAATCAACAGCTGAAGAAAACCTTCCTGCAACCTGCATATATCGGAATGCAATTGAATTGGGGCAGTGTTTAATAATATTGGTCCCCATAAAGTCATTCAAGTGATCCATCACCTAAACCCAGAGGTTCCCAAAGCCACTAGTCATCAGTTACCACTTCTGTAAATCAGATCAGTGAAACCAAGCTATCCATTCTATTCGATGGTGTGAATCTTCACTTTGCTGTCATCAGTAATATTTATGCAAATTATGGACTTTGTAGGACCCTTGCTGAAGCAGAGCTTCACACCACAGAGCCGGGACATGCACCAGCACCTGTCACTGAAGGTTTTTAACCTCATGAATATAATGATCAGGTCTTATTAGTTTAGCAGAAACAAACGTAGACCTCATGTTCCTCCTGTGGCAAGCAGGTGTCAGAACAATGGATGACACTGCTGTAGTTAATATGCATGTATGATGAACTCATTTCCTTTAAAAAAAAGACAAGACAGCAAAGGTCATGATAAAGTCTCTTTTGTATCAGATATGAAGAAAATGCTGAACCCATTACGGGCAGAAAAACACACAGCTCATGAGTTATTGCTTAAGTGATGGGAGATATTTTGTCTTTTTCTGTCCTGCGCATACAGATTTGCAAAAATGGCTACAAGAAAAATACATGCACAGGATGAATCTGGTCAAGCTCATACTTGTTCCTGTCTTAAGGATTTATTAGAGAAGTGAATAAACATGCTTGTTGTGGTAATTAACCCCATGTAAATCACAAATCCTGCCTTTATAGGGTTTTGTTTGTGCTGCTGTCATTAAGGGCCATTCAGTGTTTCCAAACTGGAGGCAGGCCCGAGGTTAAACCTCAGCAAGTGAAGGGGGAAGATGCACAAAATGGGGAAAAGGGGGCCCTGGCAGGGGAACCCTACCAGCAAACCAGCCCCCTTGTCACTGGTTCACTTCCTTGAGACTCCAGAATAAAGAAAGACAGCAGCAATAAATACCATTTAATCCAATGGGCAGTCTCAGCTTGGTAGCTACATTTCTGTAGCCTACAAAAAGAGATTTACTTCCAACCTCTCCTCTCCCAGGGTCTGTTTGTGAGAGGCCTGTTTCCCTTGACAGCGCGAACAAGGGTTTGGCCAGCCCTGCGCTCCCTGGCATGTGTGGCACGTGTGTGCGGGGCACAGGGATGGCCATCGTCCCACGCTGCAGGCTGACAAGAAGACAACTGTGGTTGCGATGCTGGGTTAGCTGCTCCTCAGCCCCTGAACGGTCCCTTCCACAGCCTACCAAAATCTGCAGGAAGCTTTTCACTTCTTTCAATGGGCATTGGATCAGATTTAATGTTCCCAAACCAGATGCTGGAACAGATGTATGGTGGCAGTGATAGTTCAGTGGTCAGGAATGGCCCCTTATCTTCTCTTTTGGTTTGTAGGGCCCATCCTGGCCTTTTTGTTCCAGCAGTTAACACCATCAGTAACGGAAATCTACATCTAATAGGAAATGCCTTCTCCCCTGTAACAAAGCCCTCAAATTAATTAGCAGCAGTGTGATGTGATGCCTTCAAAGAAAATCTGAATTGGTGCTATAACACTGAGTGAACAGATACTCCAGTAACTTGCTAGGCCTCCTGTTGACCTCGGCTATATACAGCACACAAATGATTAAGTAACAGCAACAAGAACAAGATAGCTTCTATGCACACGCTTCTGATCACTTTGGTAAGGAGTGGTCCATCAAAGATGTTCAGGACTCTTCTTACTAGAGGAGGTTTAATCGGTGAATAATCCGCAGTCACCTAGTTAGAAGCGTGCTGAAGAACCAAAAATACAAGCTCCTCATAGGTCAATACTACTTGTGACACAACTACTTTTCCTCTCGTGCTATGAACCCATCTTGTCTTCTGGCTACACTGAAGAGAAAATGATCACCCAACAAAGGCAGCACAACACAGCAAAATTGAAAACACATTTAGCAATTTGCATACCTTGCATGCCATAGAACACCCCCAAATCCTGGTGGAAATGTGCATAATGTGCCAGACATCTTGAACCCAGGAACTCCCCTCCCCATAATCCCTCAGGACCGAAAAGTTTCTGATTGTACTCCAGCTTCCCCATAAAAGCTTCATTGTTACTGCAGCCCAGCCTTTACCAGGAGTCATGGCATTGGGCCACAGCCTCCAGGGACACTCTCAAGCTGCACAAAACAAGTTTTTCCAAACAGTTTAAGTATTTCCCAGCCCAGACTCTCACATTCTAGTTGTTTGTGCAGGGACAGTAACCCACCAAGCCCTGCCTAAAATACTGGTTGTTTAAACTCCACAGAGACATTTTTTACTAACATTCCTTACTGCTGTAACCTCTTGACCATTTAAAACTACTATTAACGGGCAGACTCCATAGGCCTAATGTCAGGGAGTCATCCCTGCTGCAAAAAAGCAGCAATCAGACAATAGATACAATTGCTGCTTCCCCTGGACCACTACTTCAGCTAGGAATTTCTTAGTTTAACTGGACTTTGCAGCAGTCCATGAGATACATGCAAGCATCAACTGAGCAGCTTTTAGTTGCGACAATGTTTTGTGCTAAAACCAGGAAAATTTGCTCAAGGGAAGTTGACGTGGTTTAGTGGCACTGGAGGAGCTGTATCTCTTGGAGGGGCCTGGGCCACCCTATGGGCAGCAGTACCAGGGTGCTCAGCAATCTTGCTTGATGCCTGGAGCGCCCCAGCCACAGGGGCAGGTTTCCATGACTCAGTTTTGGAGGGGATGTGTCCAAGCTCCCACACAGAGATTTTGCCCTCTTTTCTAATCAGGCAGCACCACAGTGGAAACAGGCCATGGCAAAATTGCTTATTGTACTTAAATTTCTACCCTGGGAGTTAGGGGGGATCCTGGTGTTTGTGTCAAGGGCACAGGAAGGCTGGGTGCAGGGATTTGATGGCAGCAGGTAGAAACTGGGGATGAGGAATGTCACTCGGACACTGCAGCTGCCACAACAGTCTCTAAAGGTGTCTGACTTGCACACTACTTGTTTGCAAGGGGACACCACAGTCAAAAGCTCCTCAGGCTCCCCTAGCCCCACCATAAAAAACAAGAGTCTTCTCTCCAGCAGGTTTCTGCCAGCCTCTACAACAGGCTGTATATGAACACCAATCCATCGTGGCCGCCCTGCTCATAGCAGAGGGCTGGCAGCCTGAAGTGCACTGCCTTTGGGGATTTGATCAGAGTGGCTACATGCTGCAGAGACAGTAGCAGCTGGCTGACCAGTCCTGGCCAGCCCCATGGCTCCATCTTCCTTCCCTGCAGGACAGCTGCTACCCAGCCCCACTTCAACCAGAGCAGACCCTTCAATATCCCACACCTTCCCCCCCATTCTACTCTTAATCAAGCTAATCATGGCACTCATTTGCTTGATTAATACTAATTAATGAAACACTAATTAAAAAAAGGGCTAACAAATTCATGGCTTCTGTTCATAATGGACTTCTCTCTCAGCACTTTGGAGGCACTGGCATCTCTGTCCTGTGCTGAGAAGGTCGAAGCCATTCAAAGTCACAAGCACAGGTCACAGGGACACTCTAGCCTCGCTGCCTCGGCTTCCCCGAGTATCTCACGGGGGAAAAATAACACTGGTTTGAGTCACCACTTAGCACCATGGAGTGTTTGGTGTTTTTTAACATGGGGCCCTTCAGAAGGCAGCTTTTAGATGGCTTGCTCTGCAAAGATGATAAATCAAACAGAATTGGAGCTAGAGAGGAATTTCTGGAGTGCTTGGCACCAGCCCTGGCCTCTGCCAGGAGTCCAGGCAGGCTCTTAATGAGCTGCAGCAGGCTGGCAAGTGCCAAGTAGGCATAGCACTTTTACAGGTGTCTAAATACACACTGTTATTTTGAGGAAATAAAAGGCTTTAAAAGGTGCTCATGAATTCAGTTAGGGGTGCTTGTGTTCAAATTACCTTAGTCCATCCAACTTTTATCTCCCTAGACTTCTAGTGGCTTTGTGCAGGGATGTAGACACTGTGACCAGCCAGCTGCCCTCCCCGCACACTGCCAGGCTTTTCACTGTTGCAGTGTCCCCTCGGACCAGGCAGCTGCAGAAAGCAAGCATGCAACACAGCGTCATCTAATACCTTGGTAAGGCCTTTTGGCTCAGTTTGGTCTAATTTGCTAACACACACACCATAATTACAGAGCTTGTGTTTAGGCATATCTCAAGAGTTCCTTGTACAAGTAATAGGAGAGCATAATTCACCCAGAGCCCATCAGAGAAGACCAGCCCTAAACTGTCCAGGACCAGGCACAGAGTCATTTGGACAGATGGGAAGATCCCCCAAAAGCCTTTACATCAAACCTGATGTCTGGCAAGATTCTGCTTCTGCACCTTGCCCTTGCCTCTTTGCTGCCTCACTGGTGACTGCTAATGAGGTGGGAGTAGAGATGCAGGCAAGCTCCCTCACAAGGGTGCCCAGTGCCACTCCAGCTTTCAGTGTGGCCCCAATTCCTTGCCTTGCCCAGTTAGGGATATCCTGGCAAGCTTGAAGGTGCCAACCTGAAATGGACAGGCTTAGTCAGCCATGCTGGGGAGGACTCCTGGGCAACTGTCCCCAGTCTGCTAGGGGGGTGCACAACACAACACAAAGGAGACTTGGCTATTTACACAAGGCTTCTTGCCAGCGTAGCTACATTGCTTAGAGGTGCGCTACCTTCCTCTTTCCTGAACATTGTAGCTATGGATGCAAAAATTTAAATGGAGACCAAGTCTGTGAGGAAATTGATCCTTTGCTTTGTGTGTGCCTACTGGCAGTATCTTATGTTGTCTAATAAGCTCCATCTTGCATCTCTCACTGCACAGATTGAGCCTCGTAAAAGCTTATTGGATCTTGTGTAAGCCCTTGGCCAGGTAATGTGCAGCCCTGCAGAGAGGGCAGCTTCTTTTGGCTGTGTCCCTGGCAGGGGCTGAGGTTTTGCTTTTCATTCATGACATTTGTTGAAGTTCTTCACTGAAACCCTGAAACCATCCTTGTTCCAGACTCATCAACACTCACTGCTTTTGAACACCAAACAGTTTTACATCTCTGAGATGGCAGCAAACCAACAAAGAACAGCTGATACAATTAGCTGATGGAAAAATAAGTTCATGGCATTTTTTTGGCCAAGAAACCTATCTCACATTAAAGCAAATATTCCATCAGGATTCCACTGAGTCTGTTCCCCAAACAGATCTACACCTGACAGAGCAGTGCTGGAGATGCATCATGCAGTTATGTGCTAGCAGGCTCTGGAGGTAAGTGAGGTCCTCTGCAAAACCCTGAGGGCTCTGCACCCTGGGGTCTTGTTTTTGAACTGTAATGGTTTCTCTTTGCAATACAGTGAATTCCTGGCCTTCAAGTGGGGCCATTGTGCAGGGGCACAACGTGATGGCAACAGCTCTGCAGTGGTTACAGTCTTTGGGGAAATGGGAGGATGGCGGTGTTACCA